CTGCCTGTTCTGCCCCCCCTGCCTGCTCTGCCCCCCCTGCCTGCTCTGCCCCCTCTGCCTGCTCTGCCCCCCTGCCCTGCCCACACCAGTGCTTTCCATAGGAAGTGTCTTTGCAGCTGGGCTGTGGCAGCTCACAGCATCTGACAGTAAAACAAGGCAGAGCTGGGGTTTGCCTAAATAGGCTGAGCAGTGAGCTCTGGAGGACTTGGCACTGTTCATCTGCACTGCATTGCCTTAAGTTTTACTGGCTTTTCTGCCATCCCTTCCCAAGGGATTTCCTCTGTGTCGCTCTGAGCTGAGGGCTGGAGGGAGGGGGATGCTGGATGTCTGGGTGGGGAAGGAGAGGGGCTGCATCTTTGCCAGCAGATGGGTAGCCTGGCCAGCCCAAGGGGAAGCTCTGGGAGAGGGGGCTTCCTGGCTCCAGTCTCTGCCACAGCAGGATCTCCCTGCCATGGTTGGCAGGAGGGACCTTGGCCCGCCCAGCTTGGCATGAGCTGGCAGTGGGAGCAGCCAGCGAGCTCAGGGGTGTGCTGCAGTACTAGTTTCCAAGAATTTATTTTGAGCTTCTCTATTTCCTTCTACCTCCATTGCAACAAGCTGCTTCAGTGTGCTGCTGCAGGCACAGGGCTGCTTCTTGGGCTGGTGCAAAGCTGGAAACCTGGGGAAGCTCTGTGGGAGGGAAACCTTTATCATCTTATCCCTTTACTTGAAAAAAAAAACAGCTGAACAAATCTGTCCCTGCATCTCTGTGCAAAGGTGGTGATAACGTCTGGTCCTTGGACAGAGGGACCAAGGAGGGTTCAGAGGACACTTCTCATGCTGTGCTTGACATCTCTGTGCTTTCATGGGGACCACTAGAGCGTGGCTTGGACTTAGCATGTTTTTAAATATACAGAGGTTGCTCACAGCAGAGCTGTGTGGGGCAGCTGTGTGTGAATTAGTGCAGGCAACCACTGCCAAAGGTCACCTGCCAGGTTCTGCTCTAGCTCTGTGTCCCTGCTCATCCCTGTGGTGCAGGAGAGGACTGAGCTGTTTGGGCATGCACAGTGGGGCACAACAGAATGGCTGGAGGCTTGAAGGCCCCATGGCTGCCAGAAGATGTGTGAGGAAGGGGACCACGACAAAGTTCCTGTGCGTGTATGTCGTGCCCCAAAGCCAGCCCCCTTGGCCAGGGACCTCACGTCATGCATTACAGCTCAGAAACAGCCTTTATGAGCACGTGGTAATGAAAATGCTGAGCAGAGATATCGCAGTTTTTGCTGTTGCCTTGGCTGCTCCTCAGAGCTGAGGAAACAAGGTCAGAATAAATGAGTGTGGAGGAAATTGGCAGGTCTCCCTTGGCTTTAAAAGCAGCTGAACTTCTTATTCTTGGATCTGGGTAGAATAGGTCTGGTGGACAGTCCACATACCTCCTCATGCCTTTTTAAGTAAGTGTGTCGGAAGAGAATTCTGGGAAATGCTAGATGGGCCCCTGACATTTTGTTTTCTTGCCAGGGATGGGTGGACAGGAGCACAGTTCATGTCTAATTAGTGCTGATGTGCACATGGCTGACACCATGTGCAGGGTGAGGGATGAAGTGTGGGCTTGGCAGGGGTTGATCGGCTGTCTCATGGGGTTTGTTTTCCCCCAGGAGAAGATCGGTTGGCGTAAGGAGGCATCTCACCTGCTGGTCTTCACGACAGATGACGTGCCCCACATAGCCCTGGACGGGAAGCTGGGAGGACTGGTGCAGCCCCATGATGGCCAGTGCCACCTGAATGAAGCCAACGAGTACAGTGCATCCAGCCAGCTGGTGAGGGGGGTCAAGGGGTTCCTTGGAGACTTCAGGGTGTTGGTGGACCTTCATAGAGACTAGCCATCCTTGACGCCAGCAGCTTTTGGCAAACACAGCCCCTGACCTGCATGGTTTCACTCAGTCCTGCAGTTTGCAAGTAACATGTGCTGTTCCTCTTGGGCATCCCCCCACAGTGAATGCTTCTGTGTTGCTTAAAAATGGAGTAGGAGCTTAGCAGGCTCCTTCAGGGCTCATTGCAAAGGAGGGGAAAGTATCTTAGTGTCCTGAAGTGCATCAGATTTGCCTGCAATGTGTAGAGGAAAGATAAAGTATGTCATCCCTTTTCTAAGACCTCCAGTGGACTGCCAGCTTTTCCCTGGGGAGGCTGAGCCTCCCTTGTGATGTGGCTGCACTAACAAGCACAACAGGACACTCTTATTCACATCACTTGTTTAAACACAACACTAACATATGTCTTAGTAATAAATAGACAAACTGGCCCTTTAAAATAATTTAAACCCAGAGGAGGAAACTTCTGGGGTGAGCGAGCACTTGCCTGCCCCCTCATTGTCACATCCTCCTGCAGGAAGGTGCTTTATCCAGCAGATCACAAGCCCTAATTATGATTTTTCTTCCTGCATGGATGTCACCTCTTAACAGGAGCCGTTTCTGGATGGGAGGTAGGCTCCTGGGGGAAAAACCCTCTTTCCACCTGCCTGTGCAATCATTGCAAGCACATGTGTACCAAAGTACAGCTGCTGTTCTGATGTGGAGTTGTGCTGGGGAGCTGGGAAGGGATGCTGCCTTGGTCTGTCCATGTTTGAGTCTTGAAGGTTCAGTCAGCCCTCCTGTTTGTTTTTTTTTTCTGAGGACAGCCCTTCAGAAGCAGCCAGGCATTGCAAATTCAAGCCGGTCTCTTGAAAGCGAGCCCTGGTTTGTTATTTTGTTACTTGTGGGTAGCTAGAGCCATCTTTTTTTGAGGGGAAGTCTGCAGAATTAAAGAGTTTATCCTAATCTCTTTTTGGTTCCATTATGCAGGAAGAACAGGCAATGGATGTTTATGCTCTGGGAGAAAAATCATACATTTCCCCTTACTGCAGTTCTAGATCTCCCTGCCTCACATCCCTGGAGATAGTGCCCAGCTGGTTACACACCTGTCTCCCGGTGGGAAAGCAAAAAGAGGACAGAAAGAAATCCAATGTTTGAGGTGTTGCCAGTCACATATTCTAGTGAAGGGTGTAGCAGAAATATTTAAGGGATGACAGAATTTCTTCTACTTGAGCTGGCTTTCTACTGCTACATCAGGGACTTCATCCCACAGCAAAACATGCCACGTTTCTGGAATGAATTTTGCTGTTGGGAGGAGAATGGTAATGAAATTAATCTTTGTTTCTGTGTTACCTATCGGTCTTCCTGCCCTTTACGTGCCTCTAGGATTATCCTTCCCTGGCGCTTCTGGGGGAGAAACTCGCTGAAAACAACATCCACCTGATTTTCGCCGTCACAAAAAACCATTACATCCTGTACAAGGTGAGTGCGACCGAGCAACCCGGCGTGGGGGGATGTTGAAGGGGCTGGTGAAAGCATCTTCCTGTTGGCACCGTGTAGCAGAGGCAGCCACAGCCACT